GACCTCGAATGCCGTAATTGTAAAGCTTCTGCACGTGTCTGTTGGTTTATTCGATCAAATGCATTTGATAAGTGAATATGTCTGACCGCAGTTCCAGTCCAGATGCCTAAAGTAGTTGTGATAATGCAATAGAATACCGTTTGACTTGATTTACTGATTGAGCTTGAGGCAGATCATATTAGTCTCGTGGTATCGAAGTCATGCGAGCAACAACTGTTGAGCCACTCTCTCCAACTTTCTTGGATGGAAGCCGAATACCCATTAGCGTGAACCAGTTGATTATTTCACACACAATGTTCTTCTAACTCCTGATTCCTCCCCCCTCAAGTTAGGAGACGAACTGGAGAACTATAATCTGACTGTACACAACACACTGCAACTCCATCAAGTGTCATGCAAATGTGAAAGAAATGTAGCTTGAAGAAGCATTCCCCGAAAACACGTGTTCCTCTATACTTTTTGTTGTGATTGATTTATCAAATGATGGAGACTGATGGTTAGCTTTATCTCGTCCAGTTAACGTAAAATTACGAGGTGGAACCAAACCAGATAGATTAGTTCACTGTCAGTTTATGGAACATTAATCAATCATCTTCATGCCGCGGTTTAGTTTGCTTTCTTTGTCTACCCATTTGCATAAAGGAGCCAATGGTTGCGAAGAGATCTTCAGTCTTCAGGATTGAGGGCAGAGGGCAGGGTGCCAATGTAAGCCCCATCACCACTGGGTCGAAGGTCTGATTACAATTGTTCGTTCCTCCATCTAGACGACGCAGAAGTAACAATGTTTACGACGCTTAGCTATATCACCATTCACCGGTTAAATGATCCACAATAAAAACAATGCGACCTACACGTCGAGGTCTCCTGGTCAGTGTTTTCCAACGCCTATCTCTGCTTAGTATTGAGATGTGGGACTGCCGACTCTGTGCGCCGCTTTCGAGCGATTAAACATTTGGTTGATATGGATGATTGATCATTATCAACAAAGGTGAAAGACTGTGCAATGTTCCGAACGCTTTTTAGTGGTATGTAGAACCTTTTGACACTGAACGGTGAAATCGTAAGTCAGATAAAAAAAATGATGGACTGCGCGAGGCGCACTTTCAGGTAAATTGTCAGTACTCGAGCAGAAGTGATTAGGTAAACCCAAAAGAGAATGAGTGAATTTGTGTTTCATTTGCAATAGTTTGGACATCATTGTGTGCGATGCGGTAGAATTTGTTGTGGTGACGTCTTTGAGTCATCAAAAGAAATGGTTTTATTAAAAGTATGCACATTGGAGTTGATAGATATTCACTGAAATAGTGATAACGAGAGAATTTTATTTTCCTCCAATAAAGGGCATTTAGATATCAGAGACGCAGCTATCAACATCATCAAACTATGCATTGCATTGTGTACGAACATTCAAATGAATATAAAAGGCATTTAGGATTCTGTGAAGCAAACCAGGAAATGTTTGAAGTTATTTGTGAACCAGAATTTAATTGAAACTGCTCGTATAAATAAAAAAATACGTTAAATGAAGGCGAAATTATGTCCACTAACTGCATACTCTATTCACTATTTGATGACTTGCACATTTTTCGATTTGGTCTACCGAGTGAGAAAAGGAGAGCGTATCAGGATAATAACTTTTGAAAATAAAACATTCATAGTTGATTTTTGGAACTTTATTCGAACTCCAAAGACATGTCGAAACCCGGATATTATTGACATAAAAAACATACAAATGAACTAAAAAAATATTTGCTTGATTCCGGGTCTAATGAGTGACTCTGTTTCCTTCTTTTGGAATCTTCCAAGGAGCACCTGATTTTTATTATGGTTCTTCGAAGAACCTCTTTAGTACTTAATATTTACCTATTTATAACCGGCTTGCGAGCAGGCATGGTGCCAACGCCACCCATGAATGAGTTATTCTTCTTAATTCGTTTCTTCATTGTGCAAACCCAGTCGAAAAAGAATGGGTAACAATGCGTATGAATCGGATCCGACCTGTTGGTATACTGCAACAGTTTCATCTTGTTTCCATAGTTATCTGATACCTCTATCACATGTTGGCTTCACGCCTTTCCGTGCCCAAATGAGAATGAGGGTTTTTCACTATTGTATTTTGGCTACTGAATTTATTATCCAGTAATCTAATCGAATTCTTTGAAAATGTTTCAGGGTACATCAATCGGGTTGTGGTTTGGCACCCAGCTATTATGCCCTAACCAAAACTGAGTGCTTTTGTGTTGTTACCTTTTGTTCTGCTTCTGCATTCTTTCAACCCGTGGTTATTTGGCGCAATCTTTGTTAAGAGATATGTTGAATGCTTTTTCCGGTGATACTAACCAGCCTCGGGTATCAAGTATTCTTTGGTTATGATATAACTTATATAGTTTTAAGTGAAACATAGATGTAAAGCGATAGAACTAAACTGTAAAACTTATCCTAGGAGAGCAGATTAAATACAAAAGCTAAATAACCAACTGATAATTATAGTTTTAAAATTTTTAGAATTAACAGAGAAAGTTATTCTGACCAGCTATACTCCAAGGGGCAATCAAGGTGGATTAGGTCTTCACCAAGTAAGTAACATTCGCCAGCGGATTCCGCATTACCGCTGACAGTTAGAATCCAAAATAATCACAAAAATTTGCTTAGAATATGGGAAGGCAACCAGGGCTCCACCTCTCAATTTAATGAGAGATAATTTTCATGCAGCTTAAAGCAAACCTGATAGAAGTGGGACGGGACAACGGGTGTCTTCTTTGACGTTCCCCGGATCGATTTGCAGGTTTCATACTGTCTTCAGCTAGATAAGCGCTATGGATGTCGCTCAACATTAGCATACAGTTCATGTGAATTCCCTGCATTCCCACTGGATCAGAGTGAATACGATAATTGGAAGGTATTCGGGCGTCACTTCACCATAGACTCCCGAGTACCGTAACCATCTGATAGGCCATTTCCTCGTTCCTGAAAACTGTACCATTGTATAACAAATGAAAGGAAATAAAATAAAAGCTTGATGCTAGAAATATACCATGGACTCCTTCATAAGTTCCTTCTCTGTGTGACGATATCTTCTCGCAACCGAATCAATCCGGGAATCTAAATGTTAGGGAACGGATACGAATTCCCTATTGAAATGCAAATGCATCACCCAGTTCTGATAACCGGAGAAAAAAAACGTGTAATAAAGAATAGTAATAAATAGTAGATGGCGATTATGAAATTACATATACAAATTCTTCTCAGAGAGTTGTGAATAATTCAGTCAACGATTAGATATTTGATGAGATTACGGAGGATTTGATTTAAATACACTATCAATTCATCGTGTATATGAAGCATGAGCTAAAACGCTGGGAATTACTGGACATCTCTTCCAACTTGATTCGGATCCATGAGAAGTGCGAATCCATCGAACCAACTGGGGATCGAACCCAGAAACTTACGAGGAGAATACAAACACACTATCAACTCGGTCACCGGGCAGCTGATCACATCTTTTTTCACTTTGAATGCACAGGATTTAGCACAACCCATCTTTGCGAGCTTAACTAGGGCAGAAAGCCTCACACAGCCCAGCATTAGCCTCCAAGGTTACAACCCATAAAAAAGGTAGTCAGGTTGTGAAATTTTCCAATCGAGTTTTAACCCTAGAGGCTGGTGATGAGAAGCTTGGGGTATGTTGCCCGCAGGAAGCGTGCTAAGATGGGCTATACTATATGGTGCATATTCAAAAGGAAAGTCGAATCTGCTGCTGGTGGGTCTTGAATTTCATTTGCAGTGAAAACATAACTTATCATGAACACCGCAAATAATGGCAATATTTGTAGTTTACTGGTCACCTCAGGCTTATCGGTATAACATATTACGTTCTGTGCACATATTTTAACCGAACACTATAAGATAATCGTATCTATAGAGGAAGAAGGAAAGAAAAGCTGTTTTCAAGGGATGGCATCCGATTTTCGCTCATGCGGTTGAGCAGTGGTCTATATTGCTGGAGAGAGAAAGACCATTATAGAGTCAAGTGATCAATACATCTCCGAACCTCAACGGCAAACAGGGAAGTTAATGACAGTTTGTTTCCTGAGAAATAATATATGAATATATAAGTCCGTACATATAAACCTGAATACATACTTTCATACATAGACAAATACATACATGCATATGCATAATATTATCACTAATTATAAGAAAAACAACAGTTTTAAAAATCATAATCGTGCGGACAAATGCAGAAGTTTGGGGTTGCACGAACTTGAAAGTCTGCGGGTATTTCCTTTTGAATAGTTATAGGAGCACATGCAGCATGAAATTTTATTTCGGTGATTTACTGACTGGTATAATTGCGTGTGAACCGAAATAGTTAGGGGATGGGCTTATCAGGATTGGTGAATTGTACAATGGGCAATGAAGTAACGGTCTCTGAATCCTATGTACCATCACTAACTATACAAATTTGATTGGAGCATGATTTAACTCTTATAATAATTATTTCAATGAATAAAGTTTTCTTTGTGATAATTTTGTGGGGAATCTCCTTGAATTCGGGAAGAAAATATAGCCAACCAATATCGATATTCTACCTTAGTTCAACTGAGGCCAGATCTACCACTAGTAAGGAAGTCAGTTTATATCAGAAGCATATACGATAACCACAACTGATAAGGATTTTATTTTTGCCAAATAGAAAAGAGGTGTATGCGATGTAGGTGTTGTCCCAAACCAGCAAAGGGGCTCGCTAGGTTGTGGAAATTCACGCATGGATATTAAGAACATATCTTATCGCCTCTCAATGTGGTATGCTTGATTGAGTTCATCCAGCCTAACAAAAAAACTAATTTTATTTTTAGCTTTACCTGGTAATTTGAAATGAGCAGGCAGAATACTATGGAAACCTAAGCTCGAGGGTGGAAGTGACGTTTACCAGGTAGTAATAATTGCTAACGCTTTTCCTGCTTCCTCTCCCTTTGCCACCATTTTTCCGTTCACAGAAGGCTTAAATGAACGACTGATGGAATACCAAATCACCTGGCCTTTGGACTTCTCCTGTTGTATCGCAGTCATTATCCTGGACGTGATACGCCGCATCCGTCGCATACAAAATCATCTGTACGACTCGGCCCCGATGTTTGGTATGAGTTTGATGCTGTTCACCATGAGTGAGTTTTTGTTGTCGGAATTATGCACACACGAGCGTCTGTACATGTTATCAGACGGCTAGTTGACAGCGGTGTTCCACCGTTCACCTTCTGCTTAGAATTAGAACAGAGAAAGATGATTTGGAATAGATCGTGTAAACATGTTTACGTACTCAATATCGCACTCTTACAAAAGAACGCTTGTTGAAAGTCTCCGAAGTCTCTAATAATCAGACCACATGATACTTATTTCTATATAAGGTGCAATTATAATGGCATAGTCTTTAGAAGGCAAGAATGCTTCAAGGTTAACTTCTTCCACTATATATGTATGTACCGGACTGTCGTCCAGTGGTTGAGTGACTCGTAGATACAAACTCCAAGTCCGATTCCAGATAAAGAGAAGTCGGTAATCTACGTGTACTACTAACGAAAAACATCAATCTACAGTAGAGAAGGGCGCGTGCGCGATCGTGGAAGCCCTACGCAAGTGGAAGCACTATCTTCTTGGCATCCACTTCGAACTCATCACCGATCAACGTTCCGTAGCCTTCATGAATGACCAACGACAGACAACTAAAATCAAAAACGATAAAATCCAGAGGTGGTGACTCGAATTATCTGCCTTTCACTACGATATGATCTACAGACCCGGAAAAGATAATCAAGTCGCTGATACGCTGTCCTGCAGTACTTGTGCTTCCAATTTTCACAACACAATACTGCGAGACCTGCATTATTCATTATATCACTTCGGAATAAGGCGAATGGTGCATTTTGTACGCACACGCAATCTACCGTATTCAGTCGACGAAACCAAGAGCATGATCGAAAAGTGCACTACCCGCGTGGAGCTAAAACCCCGCTTTTTCAAACCACCTCCCTGAAATCTAATCAAAGCTGCACAGCCCTTTGGGAAACTAAGCATCAATTTCAAAGAACCTTTACCTTCGACCTCTCGGAACCGGTATATTTTGCGTATCACTGATGAATATTCTCGATTCCCGTTTGGTTTTGCATGTCCGGACATGCTTTCATCTACTGTCATCAACCGTCTTTGTCAATTATTTGCTATTTTTTGCATGTACACTTGGATTACGGTCCGTCTTTTATGTCCACTGAGCTCGTTCGGTTTCTGCGTAATAAAGGCGTAGCAACTAGTCACACAACTGCTTACTGTCAAGTGGAGCGCTTAAACAGTACGGTATGGAAAGCTATATCTCTAGCACTGAGGGCTAGAGGTCTTCCGACCTCTCAATGAGAAACAGTCCTCCCAGATGCATTATATTCTATTCACTCACTGCTGTGCGTCGTCATCAACAGTATACTTCACGAACGGTTGTTTTATTTCCCCCGGCCTTCGGCCAACAGCTCCTCCATACCGACGTGGTTGACAACTCCAGGACCGTTGCTGCTCAGAACAATGGATCGAAATTCGAAGTACGACCACTTAGTAGANAAACTTGTGACCTGCCAGACAGTGAAACACACACAGTTAGAACCTTCTCCTCCAAGAACGACAGAAATTTCACTTAATCGTGAGATTTTTGACATTTCCCTAGCCCCGATACCTGTATCTGACAATGCATTAGAAATCTTACGACAACAACAAATAACAGGACCTTACACTCTAAGAAACAGAGAAGCTTAGTTATCTTCTGCTATTTCCCTTTTACTTCCAAACAAATCATTAATGATCCTTAGCGAAATTGTAAAGCGAACTTCCCTTTCTCTCTGCCGGGGCGAATGTCGTGTTTGTTATTTGTTCTGTTTCCGTATGCTGTTAATCACGTCGTTCTTTTTATTTTTCAGCCCATGTACCGATATTATTGGGCGAGTAAAGCGTATTCTTCCTGTTTGCGCATTCTCTCTCTAACCTCGAGCGTACTCGCTTTTTGTTGTCCGTAACATCAAGGGTTTAGCTAAGGTCGTGTCCATCACAATGTTAGTGCTGTGGATCACTATACCAAGTTGTCGTTTAACCAGACAGGGTGTGCTAGAGTTCTCAAAACAAGACGGGATAGTCAGACGTACAAAGCAGTGAAAAAGTGATTCAAATTTGCGATGTACTGGGGGCCAATGTTCTGTCGATTGGATCGTATGCTGATTTCCGATCGGGCCCTTGTCCAATCAAGTGCTATGATTATCTTGAATTTATAGAGTACAAACCCCTTGTATTATTTTGAGGTGAATTTTAAGCCTTCCTTAACTCCTTTTTATTTTTGATGCGCGGAAAACTTATTCTGTGCCCGATGATTTTCGACCAGTGTGTGTTACTTAAGCGACTATTAATTATATGGAATTTTGAACCGACTATTTTGTTTCTGATGGCAAACTTAAGTCTCTTTCTGTTGGAAGTGGAAACCGAACTCGTGTTGGGAATCACGTTTGGAGTAGCAATCATCCAGTTGTTGTTTTACAATTTGATATAACTCACTTTTTTGACCTTCATCCGATTTCCTTCACACAGCATTTATGCGAGCCGTGGAAACATATTTCTACTACAATCTTCTCACCAGTGTTTCATCTATTCTCAGTGAGGTCAATAAAGCGGTCAAACGACAAGCTGTCAGCCAGAAAGAGACAATCCCTATGATGTTCTGTTTGGAACCGCCGAAAATTCATTTTGCCGTTTCCATGCTTGGATTATTCTTGTCAGTTTTGGATATCACCATGATTTTGGATTATATGGATCCAGTGTGATCGCGATGCCCGTATCTGTTGTCAACTGACACATGCTTTCAGTGGGGCTTGACATATCGCTCGCTGAAATGAGAAGATTATTTCCGATGGGCGGAGCCAAATAGAACTTTTGTTCAGAGTGTTGGATAGACAAAACTGATCTGATGGAGGTTCAGGGTAGGAGAGAAGCATTATTCAGCACTCTAGGAACAACCAAAACTCTTCCTATGCAAATCACTCGGATTAAAACATGACTCCGGAAATTTATTTATTCAGTTCTCAGCCGTTTTGTACTTGTTTTTTCCACTTAGAATAAACAAAAGTTATTTTGTCGCATCAGCTGTTTTTCAAAAAACCGGTGCTGATTACAAATAGCAAACAGATGACTTTCTGTGTGTGAGTAACTTCTTATTGTTCATTTTATGATATTTTCCTGGTCCACATGTTTCTATTTTCTTCCATCACTTTGGGTAATGAAATTACCTAGTATTGTTTGTTCATATTCTGTAAACATAAATTCTACTGACATACTAGTTCGATTCCTCTCACCAGCAATGCCATTCGTGGAACTAAGAAGGAAATGGAAATTTGTTGATCAAAGAAGTCGTACATCTCTTCACGAATTAGAACAGACATTTCGTGCTTTAGTTTTCTAACAATGCGACTGTTGTTGTTTCCTCAATATGGAAAAACTCAACCAAGGACTACAAATGGTATGGAGTTGTGATATGAGTACGTTCTTAGGTGGATTGGGTGTTTGCCGTGTTTCTGGATGAGGACCAAAAGACAATGACAACGATAAGGTGAAATCACTGCTGAAACCGAATGAAAGCCGACTTCATCGGCGTTTTCGTTATTATATCAGATCAGATCAGAAAGCCTAAAGGGTTATATATGCAGAGTTAGATTATGTGCACTGTGCGCTGACCATAGTTCTATAGCATTTTTCTTTCACCCCAAGCAGAATCATTTATAATAAGCCTTACACATTGGTAATTAATTTAGGCAAGAAATAATGAAACCTATAACATGCAGTTCCTTTTGTTCATCCGAGGCGCCAATCCCCATTTGTGACCGGCTTAACAAGCAGATCGAGCTCAACGAAGAATTCTTTGAGTCGCAGGTACATCTTGGAATGTGAAATAATTCCGACTGACTGGGAGGCTCGATCATGTAGATCGCGTTTAGCACCCCTTGTTGGGGACCTCGGGACCATTGTACCCNAGACTCGGAGCGCGATAGGGTATGGATACTGGTTGTGAGAACTGAAGCTGAATTGACTAAGAGTTCGAAATCATACGACGAGGAAAGCGGTCTAAAGCAAGTGAACTGCTACCGAAAACTCCAACCATCTTTTAGATCACACGGTTGGTGTGCTTTTACTGTAGTTCACGATTTTCTGTTCCGAATTTAACATGCCATTCCGGTTCTGAATGACCGTGACGAACGAGGAGTTATCACTGCATACAAGTGCAGTTTTTCAAAAATACTCTTGTGCATTACCACCACCAGCCCCTGCATGACTGAGAAATTTCAGTTGGATTGCTCCTGAGATCATGGCTGACTGACTGGGTGAACTGTGTGGGAAAAACGAATTATAAGAGGTGACAAGCCCCAAAACGAAATCAGTCACTTTTCGAAAAGCTATATGCATCTTCATCGTTATCCATTTTACGATGAGAGCATGGGGTCCGTAAGAAAACCACTTGGGAATGTCTGATGTGATCATATAAAGTGAAGTTGTTTGAAGAAGAATATGCATTTCGTACAGTGCGTATTTGAGAGTGAATAAAACAATGCACTAAGAGCATTGACCAATAGGGAAATAATTTTATGGAAAAAGCAGGTTTACAGTTATTTGTATAATTGTTATTATACCGTAGTTTATTTGGCACAATGTTTGGATCCAGATATGTGGTTATAAATATATATAATACTACCATTTGATCCAATGAAGGTTCTGAAGCTCAGGATCTTTTTTCGTTAACTTTCAAATGATACGCGATTCATGAATTTGGATCACACGAAAAATCTTGCTGGATCATTGGAGGTAAATCAATTGAATTCGAAAAATAGTCAAACGCTTACTGTCTAGGTGTTCAAATTTATGCACCACATGATGATCGATAAAGAGCATTCGGAATCAGTGCCGTTGAATAGAGAATCTTCCACAGCGTTCACCTATTTTTATCCCTGCGAAGACTTAAACTGTGCACCACAAGCTAAAAGAAAATTATTAGAGTCCGTTTTAAAGTCCAATTAATGGGAAGAAATTTCACGGTGTTATCACCAACATATTATGGTGCGTCTGATGGATAGCTGATAAACGAATCTCTTGTATAAAGCGAATGAGGATTCGCTGAGCGCATATCATCTTAAAATATCCTGTAACTGTTGGCACAGTATTTACAAGTCATTCAATTTAAATTAGTACATCGGTAAAGGTTGATAATGCGGCTAACTATGGAAGCAACAAGTGAATGAACTGCGATAAGAAATACTCAAATGGGAGCCGAATCAAAAGCTGACCGTTAATCATGATACATACACACCACACAGACCTCACAGATTCCGTCTAGGATTAGGTTGTAAAACTCAAAAAGCGAGGCAATCAGATAAAACCATCCTAATGGCGTTCTTGGAAATTTAAATCTTGCCGCTTTTTCAGCAGAAAAAGAATGTTTTAAATGTTTCTGATAAACTTTAGGTGGCTTGCGTTCACCTGATTTATTCAACAATGAAAGAACCGCGACTGAGTTGGATGATGGATATTGATCTAATCAAATTTCGTACGAAATCGTAGCATTTGACGACTATTCGAAGCGTATAATACTCCTTTAGAATCAACTAAATTTATAATTTTTTTCTCCCTGATTCTCATTTCTCGCTGTCCAAATGTGAGTTTGTATGCAAGTTCAGGTTCAGGTGTTCCTTCACCCTCCGGCTGTTTGAAGTTGATCATCCAAGGCAAAAAGAAACACCCTATTCAGTTACATTTTCTATATTTTGCTCTTGTTATCACTCCCAGATTTTCAGTCCCGTCCCAGATTCCTCTTCTCGTTGATTGTTCAAATGGATTCCAAAAAAGCAACAATTAAAATNGTTGTGCGGGCTACACTGAACGAAACAGAATCCGATGTACATGAGTCTTCTGCGAAAACTTGATATCTTTGATGAACAATGTTATGTGTGTTTTGGTTTTACACGAAGGGCTAATGCCCGTATATTTGATGTTGACTGGGATGACTAATTGTTCCAGATTCGACCTTGAATGCTGTCCACGAAAATAATAATATTCGAGGTTGGATACATTTAGAAATCGTGTCAGAAGTGGAACAATAGATGATTATGGACAGAAGGCTTGGGGATTGATTTAGAAGAAANNNGTTTGTAAATGAAGGTACAACGTTCCAAGTGAACCAGTTCTTTTACACAATTCGCTACCACGATCAGTGAAAAAGCTAATGCGGAAATAAGAAAAGAAAAGATTATACATGTTGTAGTAAAGTTAAATTCGCCGAAAAACAAGAAAGTTTGGGAGAGTGTTTGTAGGAAGAATTTACTGAAGAAGATTTAGTATGTCTTCCATTCGAAAACTGAGCAATTGAGACGGGAAGAGAGAGTCAATAAAACAACATTGATAGACAGTCATTGTCTATTGGTTGGTTTATCTCCCCTAACAGTGACGTGAGTTCGCACAATGAAAAATTATTGATTACTAAATCTCAAGTCATGTCCTACAACCGAGGCGAAACCCTTTCTCATTTCAAACTCGATCGAAAAAGAGAAGCGACTGACGGAGGCGGTGTGGTGTCACTTATCCGTTCGTCTGAGCCATGTACCTATTCCTTTGAACAAACAAGATTCTCTTGTACAAAAGAAATTTAAAATAATTTGTTTTATATTAGTGCCTGACTTAACAAATGCAGAGATTGTTCAGTGAAAAAGCGCTGACATGCAATGTTTACAAACTCACCTCAAGCAAGACTGTGTCCCGTTGAAAAACTTTAGTAATGGCTTCATCCGTTCAATTTCAATGAAATTCAGCTGTGAGTGATGACATTTCGGTTAGTTTTGGTATAAATGAAAACAGTTCTCTTATTCGCACTGTTTAATTTCGTTTCACTTGAGAGCAAACAATGATACATTCCTTGAATGCTCCGTCTAACATGTTTTTCCGGGTTTTGCCGGACTCCAGGGAAATAAAAATTTTCCTCTAGTACCTTTAAAACTAAACCTCTTACCTTTTTCCATGCTCCTGTAATTATTTCTTTTCTGTTTATTTGAATTTGACAAGCTGTTCCGATTTTTATGTTGGAGAACAAAAAGTAATTTGTTATCACATTGGACATCGCTGTGTTATTAACACTACAATATTCACAATAAAATAATTTGTTCATCATCAAACAATGTCTTTAGTTTCATTGGGAAAACAATCAGAATCTAATTCAGGGATAATACCAAGCTACCTCGGACACGGGATTTGACACGGGATTCTCATTGAATGGCACTCGTCACCTCTCATCCCCCGGGACAGACAATATTCATCCCCTAAACCCTTATCTGCTCGGCAAATCAAATAGCCGAGCCACTAGACTTCTTATTCCAGAGGATGTACGATCACACTGCACTCCCACCGTCGTGGAAGCAGGGAGTAATTTCACCCATTTACAAAGGCGGTTGTCGTAGCGCTCCCGCTAACAACCCCATGTAACCCTCTTTCCAGTGCTGTCCAATGTCATGAAGTCCACAGTAGCAGATTCGCTGATGGAACACGCAGAGAAGCACAATGTTTTGTCACCAAATCAATATGGATTCCGAGAGAATCGATCCTGCTCTACCAATTTGCCGATCGCACGTGAAGAATGGACAAAAGCAGTTGATGACGGCAACCAGAAAATCATGAGCTTGTAAGTTAATCCCATTATAAATCTTTGATCTTTGTCACATGTATATATTTAAAATTTCAACCGAAAGCGGTTATCGCTGTCGTTACGGATAAGTATCAGGTTCCTAGTTTT